TTTTCTATCAGTCAGAAAATTTATCATCCATGTTAGAAGCTTACCTGTCACCCCTCCAATATTTTCCAGTTTCCAGAACAACCTCTTATGTGGAACTCTGTCGAAAGCCTTTTTTAGGTCCAGATAGATGCAGTCAACCCAACCATCTCTTTCCTGTAATATCTCTGTGGCTCGATCATAGAAACTGAGTAAATTCGATACACAGGATCTTCCAGATCGAAAACCATACTGTCTGTCTGATATTATATCATTTCTCTCCAGGTGTTCTACCCATTTAGTTTTGATTAGCTTTTCCAATACTTTCACTATTACACTTGTCAATGATACAGGTCTATAATTGAGGGGGTCTTCCCTGCTGCCACTTTTGTAGATTGGAACTATGTTAGCCTGTTTCCACACGTCTGCTACGATTCCTGTACACAGGGATGCCTGAAAGATCAGGTGAAGTGGAATGCTGAGCTCAGATGCACATTCTCTCAGAACCCATGGTGAAACGCCATCTGGGCCAGCTGCTTTGTTCTTCCCGAGCTCCTTTAGCATATTTTCCACTTCATCTCTAGACACCTCTATCCGCTCAATGTTGTTCTCTGGAATTCTTATTGTGTCTGGTTCTCTGAAGATTTCATTTTGTACAAACACACTTTGGAACTTTTCATTTAATGTTTCACACATTTCCTTTTCATTTTCCGTGAATCTGTTTCCCATTTTCAACCTCTGGATATTATCCTTTACCTGCAATTTGTTGTTTATGAATTTGTAGAATAGGCCCGGTTCTGTTTTACATTTATCTGCTATCCCTTTTTCAAAATTTCTTTCTGCCTCTCTCCTTACTGCTGTATAGTTGTTTCTCGCATCTTTGTATCGCTGGTATGTTTGGGGGTTTGGCCTCTTCCTATACTGATTCCATTTTTGTGTCTTTTGGTCTCTTGCCCTCTCACAATTTCTGTCGAACCAATCCTGTTTTCTGGCCCTGCATCTCTGTTTTGGTATGAATGTATGTGTGCCTTCCTCGTATAGTTTTAAAAATTTGGCATACATTTCATTTACTTCCCTGCCTAGCAACAATTCTGTCCAATTACACTCATTAAAAAAATTTCGAAGTTCCCCATAGTTGCCTCTCCTTAAATCGAGTTTATCAACTGTTTCAATGTCCCCATTTTCTTCTAGATGATATCTTAAAGCATATTTAATGTCTAACAGGACGTGATCACTCTTTCCCAAGGGAGGAAGGTACTGGATGTCAAAAATCTCTTCTTCTTTCCTGGTGAATACTAGATCCAGTACTGACGGTATATCTCCTTCCCTCATTCTTGTGGCTTGCTTTATGTGTTGATACAAGAATGTCTCCAGAATGAGGTTCACAAATCTGCATGTCCAAAAGTCCTCCGTTCTTGCTTCATAGGCCTCCCAGTCTATTGCTCTAAAGTTGAAGTCCCCCAGTATCAACAGTCGTGATTTATCTATATCTGCTTGTACAATAATATCTCTCATGACCATTATGAGGCCCTCTCGTTTGTCATCCAGTTCTTCCTTTGTCCATGTGTTGCTTGCTGGTGGGCTGTAGGTATTTACAATTATCAGCTTATCATCCTGATTCCAGACCTGCAATGCCATTATGTCAATATCTCGAGGGTTTTCAAATATTAACTCTTTTTACCTTCAGGTGTTTTTTCACCAGTACAGCCACTCCTCCTCCCTTCCTAGTTTTCCTGTCACGTCTCCAAACTGAGTAGCCTCTTGGGAATATGACTTCATTTATTATATATCCTTCAAGTTTCGTCTCTGATAATGCAACAATATCTGGGACCCTAAGCTGGATTATATCTTGTGTGTGTGTGTGTGTGTGTGTGTGTGTATATATATATATATATGTCGTACCTAGTAGCCAGAACGCACTTCTCAGCCTACTATGCAAGGCCCGATTTGCCTAATAAGCCAAGTTTTCCTGAATTAATATATTTTCTCTAATTTTTTTTCTTATGAAATTGACAATTTTTTTTATTGGAGTTAAAATTAACGTAGATATATGACCGAACCTAACCAACCCTACCTAACCTAACCTATCTCTATAGGTTAGGTTAGGTTAGGTAGCCGAAAAAGTTAGGTTAGGTTAGGTAGGTTAGGTAGTCGAAAAACAATTAATTCATGAAAACTTGGCTTATTAGGCAAATCAGGCCTTGCATAGTAGGCTGAGAAGTGCGTTCTGGCTACTAGGTACGACATATATATATATATATATAATATATATATATATATATATATGTCGTACCTAGTAGCCAGAACGCACTTGTCAGCCTACTATGCATGGCCCGATTTGCCTAATAAGCCAAGTTTTCCTGAATTAATATATTTTCCCTATTTTTTTTCTTGTGAAATGATAAAGCTACCCATTTCATTATGTATGAGGTCAATTTTTTTTAATGGAGTTAAAATTAACGTAGCTATATGACCGAACCTAACCAACCCTACCTAACCTAACCTAACCTATCTTTATAGGTTAGGTTCGGTTAGGTAGCAGAAAAAGTTAGGTTAGGTTAGGTTAGGTAGGTTAGGTAGTCGAAAAAACATTAATTCATGAAAACTTGGCTTATTAGGCAAATCGGGCCTTGCATAGTACGCTGAGAAGTGCGTTCTGGCTACTAGGTACGACATATATATATATATATATATATATATATATATATATATATGCGAACAAGCCTGAATGGTCCCCAGGACATATGCAACTGAAAACTCACACCCCAGAAGTGACTCGAACCCATACTCCCAGAAGCAACGCATCTGGTATGTACAAGACGCCTTAATCCACTTGACCATCACGACCGGACATAATGAGGTGATAGCCGAGGCTATTTGAACCACCCCACCGCCGGCACTCGGATAGTTATCTTGGGCATAGCATTTTACCAAATCACCTCATTCTTTGGGGCAACACGTGAGGAACACAAATGCGAACAAGCCTGAATGGTCCCCAGGACATATGCAACTGAAAACTCACACCCCAGAAGTGACTCGAACCCATACTCCCAGAAGCAACGCATCTGGTATGTACAAGACGCCTTAATCCACTTGACCATCACGACCGGACATAATGAGGTGATAGCCGAGGCTATTTGAACCACCCCACCGCCGGCACTCGGATAGTTATCTTGGGCATAGCATTTTACCAAATCACCTCATTCTTTGGGGCAACACGTGAGGAACACAAATGCGAACAAGCCTGAATGGTCCCCAGGACATATGCAACTGAAAACTCACACCCCAGAAGTGACTCGAACCCATACTCCCAGAAGCAACGCATCTGGTATGTACAAGACGCCTTAATCCACTTGACCATCACGACCGGACATAATGAGGTGATAGCCGAGGCTATTTGAACCACCCCACCGCCGGCACTCGGATAGTTATCTTGGGCATAGCATTTTACCAAATCACCTCATTCTTTGGGGCAACACGTGAGGAACACAAATGCGAACAAGCCTGAATGGTCCCCAGGACATATGCAACTGAAAACTCACACCCCAGAAGTGACTCGAACCCATACTCCCAGAAGCAACGCATCTGGTATGTACAAGACGCCTTAATCCACTTGACCATCACGACCGGACGTGTGGGGTGTGAGTTTTCAGTTGCATATGTCCTGGGGACCATTCAGGCTTGTTCGCATTTGTGTTCCTCACGTGTTGCCCCAAAGAATGAGGTGATTTGGTAAAATGCTATGCCCAAGATAACTATCCGAGTGCCGGCGGTGGGGTGGTTCAAATAGCCTCGGCTATCACCTCATTATGTCCGGTCGTGATGGTCAAGTGGATTAAGGCGTCTTGTACATACCAGATGCGTTGCTTCTGGGAGTATGGGTTCGAGTCACTTCTGGGGTGTGAGTTTTCAGTTGCATATGTCCTGGGGACCATTCAGGCTTGTTCGCATTTGTGTTCCTCACGTGTTGCCCCAAAGAATGAGGTGATTTGGTAAAATGCTATGCCCAAGATAACTATCCGAGTGCCGGCGGTGGGGTGGTTCAAATAGCCTCGGCTATCACCTCATTATGTCCGGTCGTGATGGTCAAGTGGATTAAGGCGTCTTGTACATACCAGATGCGTTGCTTCTGGGAGTATGGGTTCGAGTCACTTCTGGGGTGTGAGTTTTCAGTTGCATATGTCCTGGGGACCATTCAGGCTTGTTCGCATTTGTGTTCCTCACGTGTTGCCCCAAAGAATGAGGTGATTTGGTAAAATGCTATGCCCAAGATAACTATCCGAGTGCCGGCGGTGGGGTGGTTCAAATAGCCTCGGCTATCACCTCATTATGTCCGGTCGTGATGGTCAAGTGGATTAAGGCGTCTTGTACATACCAGATGCGTTGCTTCTGGGAGTATGGGTTCGAGTCACTTCTGGGGTGTGAGTTTTCAGTTATATATATATATATATATATATATATATATATATATATATATATATATATATATATATATATATATATATATATATATATATATATATATATATAAAATAAATACTATATTTTATTTCTTGAGGAATATATTAAGTGCTGCTGCAGCATGAGTGAGTGTATTGTGTGGTTGGGCAGGCATAAATGGATGTAATGTGTATGTGTGAAGTATTAATTTAGCAAGTGGACCTGCAATGCAAAATTTTCTTTTCTTATGTTCAGTGCTAATGTAGTGTTTTAGAAAATCTGTACTTAGGCAACTTGCATAATTCCTGGTCTCACCTCTCCTCACTTTTCACATTTAAATACACATGCCCATTGTATCTATTAGATTTAATTATGTGCTTAAAGGTGGACCATCATCTTCAATAATGTCACCTCTCATCTTAGTGTTTCATTATATTGCTGTCAATATTTTGTGTTCTGTTCAATCATCAATCATCACATAAATTGCATCCCTGAATTTAGATGGATGGATGGATGGATGGAAGTCAGGATGGAACGTGTGTATGAAATGCTGTATTTAATACTAAAATAGGAGGCAACAATACCTTGGTGACTCTCTCTTCAACTGCCTTTTTTTCCTTGGGATCCATCCGGGCAATGAGGGTCTTCTGGTTGGCTGATAGTTTGTACCCATGTTGGAGAGCTGTCAGTGCTGTCTCTTGTGCCTTCATAATGTGCTCTCCTTCCTTTCTGTTTCGAGGGATGTCCATTGCCAACTGTACCAAAATGAGACCAACCAGTGCATTAAGAACTAATTGTATTCACCTTACTCTGTGGATTTTGGCCTAAGTTAAAAAAAACTTTGGCTCTATGGCAAGGCATGAGACATTGAGTCATGTTAAGTACACAAAATCCCACTAGGACTGATACATTATGTCTATTTCCCTCCACGAACAAATGCAAGAATGCCAGCTAGACTAGCATGACATTAAGCAATGAGACCACCTCAACATACCTGAGAATACACCATGATAGGATCCTGAGAATTGACAGAAACCTTGGAACCACCTTGGGAGATGCTTGGCGTGTTCCCAACACTTGTCTGTGCGTTGTGTAGGGGCAGCATCACAACTTCCACCTGCCCCATGCCCGTGTCCTCCTGTTAGTGGCACATCAGTATTGGTATGGAGCAATTTGTTACTTTAATTACCTTATCAAATACTCAACTCCAGCATGGATGTTGTACTGTCTAACCAGATGGAAATAAAGAAACTTGAAATGGGAATAGTTTATCAAAAGTACAAACTTGCAAATTTTTACATTATTTTTAATTAAAGATATAGTATGTCACTTTCTTGAATTTATCGACCAGTTAACCTCAGGGGGCATCAGTTAGTTTCTTAAAACTTGTCAACATGTCAAAAATGTCAACCAATCTTTTTTGACTTGTTTTATATGAAAAGGGCTGCCAATGTTCCAAGTTTCAGTATTGCAGCCTAAATAGAAAGGGAGATTTTTTTTTTTTTTGTATTCAATGAATTTTACACATTTTCAATAAGTCTCTACTACCACAAGTTTCAAATGAAATCATTTCTATGACACTCTTCTATCACATTAGCACATGATAAAGGATCTGTAACAGCGGATTTTCCAAAATATGTTTAGTTTTACTAATACAAATAGTCAAAGTTCCCCCAAAAAATTATGCAAATATATCATGTTTATTACCATTATAAAATCAATAAATGAACTTGGGAAAAATCGCTCATGAAAGATTTTAGAGACAAACTCTACATATAAGGTGTAAGTGTCATGTAAAGTGAATAAAAAATGAAAGAGTAGAGATATTGTTTATGTTATTTGAAAATAAATAATTAAAAAGTAAAGTCTAAGGTGTTGCCATCTGTGGCTGAGATTGACATCAACCAATTTCCTCCAGAATTGGCACCCTTACAGATAGGCTTACGTGCAGTCAGGTGTATAAATTTCATGCAAATCGTTCGATAAATAAATAAGAAAAAAAATGAAAAAAACAATTTTTTTTTTAACTAAATTTTTTTGGATAAAACTAATTACAGTATTAATTTTTTATTATATGCTATTGTGATAGCTGAGAGTCATAGACATGATTTCAGTTGACACTTGTGTTTGATGTTAATTTTGACCATTTTGGAAAATTTTTGAAACAATTCAATATTTTTCTGGGGGAAGCCCCTTCGGCTCCCTGGAGCTTACTAGGCTGATATGCTAAAGTCAGACATTGGCATCACTCATGTGTATGGAGTTCTATGGGCCTACCGGGGACCACGAGCCAGAACCTGGCCCCCTCAGAAGAGGCAAGGGGAGCAGTGGCCTATAGAAACCCCTGTGTGGTTGGAAGCATTCTATGTCTGCCATCGACCGGGTCAGGCACCCAGAAAGGTAAGCATCCCAAAACAAACCCCTATTCTGGTGAAAATATTGCTACCAAAAGCTGAACAAATGAATAGAACTGCCCTAAACGAAACGAGCAAACAATCATGACATCACACGTCGCTGTGCTGCTGTCTGCGCTGCTCCTCCTCTCCCCGGGAGGGGGAAGGGGAAGCCCCAGACCCCACACACCGGCTATCCACCTTTTAGTTCTCAGGCTGATGCTAGAGGTGGAGGTCGTGTGCTTCGCTCCAGCGTTTTCAGCACTGTGCTTAGAGTGTGGTGGCTGTCTTCTAGGGGTGTGAGAGCCAGGAGTTATTCTACAATACTCAGGCTACATGCGCCTGGGGGTTATCGTTCCTAGGTGCCCTGTAAGTACAGTACTGCCCTTGGGGCTAGGTGCCACCTTCCACAAGCTCCTCGGGGCCTGCCTCTGCCAGGCTGTCTTACTGCTTGGTTTTTCGGCCACCCTTTAGGTGCTTGGGGGTTTTTGTCTTCCTTGTTTACCCTAGGGTAAGAGGCAGTTTGCACTGGTGGGGCACAGGGTGCTGCACAGCTTGTTTTCATAACTCACAGCAGCTGGCTCTGTTCCTTGAGGTGCATTGTCCTCTTGCGGGGTTTTGTTTATATTTCTCTTTTTGCCTTGTGGTGGGGGAGGGGGTCCGCCTTGCTTCCCCACTTGTGCCTGACCTGTGCACGGTTCTTTTTCTGGTGGAGCCCCTGCTAGATCCCCATGAGTGTACATGTCCCTGGGGTTCAGCTTTTAGATAGTTGTTTATTAGTTGTGGGCGCCGGCTAGCAATACCCTGCCAGGGATTACCTGGGCGTGAGTCCCTGTTGGTAAACGCTCACGACCCTGGGAATCCCCAAAGGGGCGCGTGGGTCTGATGGATGTGCCCCCAGAATCCCCCCTCGCTTCCTGCGAGTTCGAGGGTTGCTCGGTCCCCTTGACTCAGGGTGATCCTCACGGTTTTTCCCTCTGTCACGCTGCCTGTTGGGTCGGTGACACTTTCGACCCTTAGTCCTGCGAGTTCTGTTACTTGCTGGTAACTCTATTTATCCAGTCTAATGATGATCTTCTACGGGTACAAGCGGCGCAGGCATTGCATGTACACTTTCGGCTGTTGCAATGCGCTAGGTTGGTTGCTTGCCTGGATGCCCCGTTTTGCCTATAGTGACCCGGACTTAAGGGTGGGGGGTCGCTTCGAGCCTGGTTCAGTCCGCGCCCCCTCGTCCTTCCCCTTCGGTGATTCATTCTGGTCCCCCCATTCGTTCTGGTGATGCTGTTTGGCATCTTTGGGAGACAGTCGGCCGAGTGGACAGCACACTGGACTTGTGATCCTGTGGTCCCGGGTTCGATCCCGGGCACCGGCGAGAAACAATGGGCAAAAGTTTCTTTCACCCTATGCCCCTATTACCTAGCAGTAAAATTGGTACCTGGGTGTTAGCCAGCTGTCACGGGCTGCTTCCAGGGGGTGGAGGCCTGGTCGAGGACCGGGCCGCGGGGACACTAAAAAGCCCCGAAATCATCTCAAGATAACCTCAAGATAACCCCCCTCTTCCGGCTCCAAAGCGTCTGAGGGTTTCAGAGTCAGGGCAGGGTTTAGATGGTCTTGAGTCTAGGGCGGTTTTAGAGGATGTCCCTTCTGGAGTAGTGACGGAGGCTTTCGAGTCCGATTTCCCTGCCGAAGCCTCTGGTTCTGGCCAGTGGGCCCCCTTCTGTTTGGCTTACTCGGCTGCGCTGGCTTTTCTTTAGGGGCCGGTGCTCTTGGGGATGACTCAGCCCTGGGTCCTGAGGAGAGGGATCCTGGGGCTGGGAAGGGGCTGACTTGAGGGCCTTGGACCCCATTGGACCCCACCTGGGTTTTTCTACCCTTGGAGCAGTGCTTATTGTTACAAGGAGTGGGGTCCTCTTCCCCCCCCCCTCCCACTGCGTACAACTTGGATTTGGTGTCTGCCCCTTCCCGGGTTTGGTTCCGTTTCCACAGGTGCGGCGATTCCGTCTTTCGGTTTTCGGAGGTTTTCGGCTTCCCGCATCCAACCGTCTGCAGTGCCTGGTTGATACCTGGTTGATGGGGTTCTGGGAGTTCTACTCCCCAAGCCCGGCCCGAGGCCAGGCTTGACTTGTGAGAGTTTGGTCCACTAGGCTGTTGCTTGGCTGTTTGGTCCACTAGGTCACTAGTGCGGGCGGCCTTAGCGGCTTACCTGCTGCGTGACCCGGATTACGCTTCGGTGATGGATCCGTCGTCTTTCAGGTTTGGGATTTCGTACTCTTTCTGGGTCCGTTACGAGGTTCCGGAGTCATCACGACTGGCGGACTGTCCTATTTTTGCCTTGGAGGCTAGGCATTCTTTCTGTCGCACGCTTGAGTAGCGTGAGATTTCGACTGTGGTTCAGGTGTTCCTAGGGGGGCAACCTTGAGCACCTCAATGAGTGCTTGTTTGCTCCTGCCCTTCCCCAGGATGTTAGCGTTCTGCAGCTTCATGTGCAGGTTCCCTCCCTTTCGGTTGCACAGGTGGCCGAGGATTTGCATGCCAAGGGCCTCTTGGCTTCGGCCTTGCGCTTCTTTTCCCTCCTGAAGCTGTCTTCGGACTGGCTTGGGGGGAGGATGTAGGGGCGCTCGGGGCCGCTCCAGGGTCCGGTGCCTTGGGCTCGGCTGCTCGTGCGTCGGCTACCTTGTTGATGCTGTTTGCACCGATCTTGCAGGATGCAGTTGCCCAGTTTTACGCTTCCTGGCTCGCGTGTCGACAGGTGCTGCTTGCCTCCTCTCTGGAATTGGCCTGGGCCCTGGCTTTTAGGATGTCTTTGCCCTCTTGTCCTCTGCTTTTTGCTCCTGCAGCCGTAGCGCAGTATATTCAGGCTGCTTCAGCCAGTTGCTGTCCGATGTCGGAATTGTTGGTTCTCCGGGGGTCCTGGGGGAGGCTTTCCCGGAGGGGTCGTGCCAGAGCTTGGGGTTCCGCTCATCGTGGTAGGCCACTGGCGCCAGGTTCGGCCTTGGCTCCGCCTTCAGACCCGCCTTCGGCTGGTCAGCACGGTGTTCACCCTGTGTGGGGTTCTTGGTCTTGTATGGGGCGCTGGCCCTTTTGCAGTTCACCCCACTGACGGGGCGATTGGGGGGAGGCCTGCGGTGTTCGCTCACACCTGGTTCCATGATTTGTGGGTGTTTTGGGTCATTTCCTTCGGCCTGCGATGGCATTGGGTGGCCCCCTCCTCCTTCGGGGGGTTCAGGGCTGACGGGGCAGACTTCTTCTCCTGTGCTCCGTCGAGTCGTTTTGGAGTGGGTTCGCTTGGGCGTTGTCGAAACGACGTCGTCCTTCAGATGGGTTTCCCGTCTGTTTCCAGTGCCGAAATGGGACTGTGCAGACCTGAGGTTCATTCTGTACTTGTCCCGTCTGAACCCCAGGGTTCATTGCCCCTCCTTTCGGATGACCTCGCTGTCTCAGGTTTGGCTCCTGTTGGAGCCGGGTTCCTGGATGATGTCCCTGGACCTCCGGGACGCTTATTGGTACATCCCGATTCATCCAGGGTTCAGGGACTGGCTCGGCTTTGTAGTGAGCGTCGAGGTTACTGCTTTCGTTGTCTCCCGTTCGGGTTGAATCTGGCTCCTCACGTGTTCACATGCCTTACGCGGGTCGTTGTGGCCCGTTTGCTTCTTCTAGGTGTTTGGGTGTTGGCCTACCTCGATGACTGGCTGGTTTAGGCTCCCAGCAGGTTCAGTTGTCTGCTACCCAGGGATTTGATTCTTTCCCAGCTCGCCGGGTTCAGGTTCTTGGTGAACTGGAGGAAGTCCCATCTGGTGCCCTCCCAGGTTCGGTCATGGCTGCGTCTTGTGTGGGACTCTCGGACCGCTTCCTTGTCTCTTCCTCTGGAGTCTCTCCTCTCCTGCTGCGGTCCCATTTGCACCTGTTTCTGAGGGTCTCCCGGGTCACCCGGCGATTGCTCGAGGGTTTGTGCGGGAGCCCGAACTTCGTGTTGTTGGTCTACCCGCCAGGTCAGGTTTGACTTTGTCGGCTGTTCTGGTTCTTTCGGGACTTCCCTTCCGCCTCTTTCGCAATCGCTGGGTTTGAACCCCGGGGGCTTTGCATCGGCTCCTGCATCGCCGGCTTTCTCTTCGGGTTTTTCAGGGTTCGGTGCCTTGGCGCCTGCCCGAGCCCTCGCTCGATGTGTTCAAGGACGCGTCGTCTCTCGGCAGGGGCTTTGTGACAAGTGCTCACCAGGCCAGCCAAAGGCAGTGGGGTCCGTCCTTCTGTCAAGGCCACAGCACGGTGCGGGAGTTCACGACGGTGTGGTTTGCGCTTCAGAGGATTCGGGTCACCCGCGAGTCAATGATCTGGCTCCATTCGGACTGCTCCCCGGTGGTTCATTGCCTGAACCGAGGGGGTTCGACGGGGTCCTTGGCTCTCTGGGGCTGGTTGCTTCGGGTGGCTCGTCTGCTGAGTTCTCGGAGTTTGGCTCTTCAGGCCATTCACGTGCGGGGAGTGTCCAACGTCTTGGCCGACGGCTTGTCTCGTTTCGCTCCCCTCTCCATGGAATGGATGGTCGACGCAGACTCCTTCAGTTGGCTTTGCTGGACGTTCGGTCGCCCCGAGGTGGACCTCCTCGTGTCGGCGTGGTCGCTGCGCCTTCCCCCTGTATGTGGCGCCCTTCCCCGACTGCAAGGCCATCGGGGTTGATGCCTTTCGGCAGGACTTGTTGAGGTGGGGGTTCAGCTGTTGCTCCAGGTCCTGACTCACTTGGAGATTTACCAGGGAAGAGTTGTCCTCTTGGCCCCATGGTGGCCGGCCCAACCGTGGTTTCAGGGGCTGCTTGTTCGGTGCCCGAACCCGGAGGTTTTCGCGTGGCTCAGCCTTTTCCAGCAGATCGGACCTGAACGTCATGTGGCTGGTTCAATCTTCTCCTCGAGTCTTCGCGTATGGTATTTTTGACTCGAGTTTATCATCATCTCTATGGTGATGAGGTGGCTTCCTTGTTAAGTGTCCCAACTGCGGGTTTCATCTCGGCCGCAGTATGAAGTTTCCTGGCGGTCCTTCCATTTCTTCCTGCATCTTCGTCATTGTACTTCGCTTTCGGTTAGGGTAGTGTTGTCCTTTCTCTTGGTTGTTCCAGGACTGTCACCTTATGCCTAACACTGTCGCCTCGTATCATGCAGCGCTGGCGGAGCTGCTTCAGCTTGCTTTCGGTATTGATGTTACTTCTGCACCGTTTCGTAAGCTGTCTCGGGCGTTGTTTGACCTCCGGCCTGCTCCTGCACCGCCTGAGCCGTCATGGTCATTGGACAGAGTGCTCTCTTATCTTCTCCTCGGTTTGTTGTGGCCCCTTCGGTTCAGGATTGTTTCTCCAAGGCTCTTTTTCTGTTGGCATTGGCCTCTGAGGGTCGGGTTGGTGAGCTTCATGCTCTCCTCCGGTGCAGGGGTTTCTGCTTTTTCGGTCTTCGTGATGGTTTTGTTTGTTTGCAGCCGTCTCCTTCTTTTCTGGCTGAGTATGTCGAATTTTACGAGGTAGGAATAGAGCTGTTTGTAAATAATTTTTTCAAATATTTTTGATAGAATGGGTAGATTTGATATTGGTCTATAATTGTTTATGTCCGCCGGATTGCCTCCTTTATGGACTGGCGTTACTCTTGCTTTTTTGAGGATATCAGGGAAGGTGTGACACTCTATAGATTTGTTGAACAGTAGTGCTATGGGTGGGGCAAGGGCATGGGAGGCTCTCTTGTACACAATGGACGGAATTTCACTGGTGTTCCCTGCCTTGGTTTTTAGAGAGTGTATGATGGACACAACATCTGCCGGGCTGATTGGTGAAAGGAGAAGAGAGTTTGGATAGCTGCCTGAGAGATATGTGTTAATATGTGCCTGAGTCTGTGGGATTTTACTGGCAAGATTAGCACCAACGATGAAAAGAAACTATTAAATTCATTTGCCATTTCTAAATCAGTTGACGGTATATCCCCATCCTTGTAGAGTTTTATTTGGTTATGTGAGTGTTGTTTAGTTCCTAGGATACTAGAGATAGTTTTCCAAGTGTTTTTCATGTTGCCTTTTGCTTCATTGAATCTATTCACATAATCAAAGAATGAGACTGCTGCTTTTCGGAGGGGTCCCTGGGTTGTGGATGCTTGGTTGGTTAGGCCGGGGGTGCATCGTGTTTTGTGTCCGGTTGCGGCTCTTAGCCGTTATTTGCGCGCCACGGCTTCTGTATCCAGGGACGCGCTTTCAGTTGATTTGGTTTCCCTTCTTCCCTGTTCGCGGGTGCGGGTTTCCCAGGTCATCCACAGAGTTATTAAGGCTAGCCAGCCTGCGGTCTATCCCCATGCCCATGACGTTCGTAAGTTTGCTGCTCTTGCTGCCGTCTTTGGCAACATGTCATGGGCTGACATTCGGGCGTGGGGTTTTTGGTGGTCGAACAGGGTCCTGGCTGCTCGTTACCTTGTGAACGTCCCTGGGCCTAGTCGGGCTTGTGTCGCTTTGGGTCGGCGGTTGCGGCCAGTTGTCTCGACTTCGATTTGAGGAGTGAGCAGTGACCGCCTCCCAGGTAAGTCCCTAAGTTTTTTCCTCTGTGAGTAGCTCCAGGGAGCCGACGGGGTACCCCCAGAAAACCAGCGTTGAATGTAATGAAACGCCATTTTCTGGGTGAGACCCGGAGGCTTCCCGGCATCCCTCCCTCCCTCCGGTCAGCGGTTTTTTGCATGTTTTGACATCCAGCCTAAGAACTAAAGGGTGGATAGCCAGTGTGTGGGGTCTGGGGCTTCTCTTTCCCCCTCCCAGGGGGAGCCCCAGGCGCGGCAACGTGTGACGTCATGATCGATTGCTCGTTTTGTTTAGGGCAGTTCTATCAATTTGTTCGGCTTTTGGTAACAATATTTTCACCAGAATAGTGGTTTGTTTTGGGATGCTTACCTTTCTGGGTGTCTGACCAGGTCGATGGCAGACATAGAATGCTTCCAACCACACGAGGGTTTCTATAGGCCATTGCTCCCCTTGCCTCTTCTGAGGGGGCCCAGGTTCTGGCTCGTGGTCCCCGGTAGGCCCATAGAACTCCATACACATGACTGATGCCAAAGTCTGATACTAGCATATCAGTCAATTAAGCTCCGGGGAGCCTCCAAGTCTCACCCAGAAAATGGAGTTTCATTACATTCAACGCTGGTTTTTTCTCCCTTCCTATTTATGATACGATGCTGAGACATGGACCAGATGAAACCCTCTTCATATACAACTAGTCAAAAATGTTTGATTGAAACCGAACTAGTTTTCATTTACTGCATATTTTTTTGCAAATTTGGATCCAATACCCCCTAATTTCAATAGACGAAAATTTTCTGAACAAGAGGAACTGCTGGCTTTATATACAGTACACTGCAAATATGCAACCATTTATATTATGGAGAAACAATTTCAAACACCGCCTGTCATCTTAATGACGTTTAAAGTCATGGTAGAAAAAATAGTTTCTTGGAATTTCGGGCATTAACTGTTCCAGTTCTGGATCTTGGACGTAAATCTACAATCTAATTGAGATCTTACCATATATCATACTAATCTTGCCACTGAACACACCATTTTTGCTATTTACTCGGTTTTTGGTACACAAGTACTGTAGTGATAACATTTTGGAGCAGTTAGCTCACCTGAGAGTCGCTTGCAGGAGAAGCCTGCGGTTGTGCGAGGAGCGGTAGACTGTAGGAACCTGACGAGGAGGAGGAAGCTGCAAGCTGCGGGGAGTTCTGTTGCAGGAGCTCCACGTCCTCCTGCCCAGCCAAGCCAGAGATTGGAAACTGGGAGTCCTCCTGTGGAGCCTGGCCGGGAGGCTTAGGACCCGTATAGTCATCTGTCTCCTGGTGGATGCGCCGGACGCCATGCAAGAAGCTCCGGTGGAAGGTTGCATCGGGGTGGGGCGTGAAGGCCAGCACCAGCAGGCACAGTGAGGCCCCAAGGGTCAGGGTGACTAGGGCCCGGTAACCCCTGCCCCACCGACCCACTCGCAACACCAACACCAACCCTGCAATGACAAAAAAATATATATATATATACAGTATTTTTTTTTAACCTAAAAGGGGTACCACCTCTGGTGCAAGTGTGGGGACCCATAGCCTCGGAGAAAAAAATAATGAGTACTCAGAGATGACCTTGTGGATCCTCACTGAACACTTTGATATTTTCTTCTCCTACCACCCCTATTCTTTTAGTGTGTGTGTATATATATCTAACTTTATTTTACTATTTCATTACACAAAAAGGGTTACAACATTGGTTACATGCAAGGTATAAGACTACTTGTCACAAGTTGTATAGCTCCTCCAGCTCCTCAGATGGCGGGCAGGAACCATGGATGCAGTGAGCATTTCCTCTCTGGTTCGCCACACTAAGGCGCTGAAAGAGAAAACTGGCGGCTCTAGGGTCTCTAGTTGTTTCAATAAGCTTGGACCCCAGCTCCTTCAAAAAACTTGCAGCACTTTTACCCCCAGGCACCAAGTGTCTCTGAGGCAATGGGGACAAAATTGTGGTAGTGATCAAGGTCTCCGTATTTACGTGACTTGGCTGCTTCACGGTGATTGGCAGCACCTCCTGTCTGTGCAGCACTGAAGTTAACATAGGTGTTGGCTAAGGTTGAAACGCAAGTGTAGTCCCACACCAACTGTCTACCATTCTTCCAGGGGTTCACCATGATCCCGTCTGGGCGACCGATAAACTCATCAGAGTTGCGGGGCATTAGGTAACGGGACTCTCTGCTGGACAACCGGCTGTGGTAAGGCTTCTCTTGATAATGATGTTAACCTTGCCGTGCCTTGCATGCCATCCTCCTGTCCTTTGGCAGAGAAGGCCATGCCGTCCGTACCTGTCGGTCACTGCCTCGCCGTAAATACACCTGTATTCGGTGTGGATTGGGGCAGCAAGACAGAGAGCCACAGCAATTCGGAGGGCCTGAGGTGTGAGACGAGTGCCAGTTGCTGACATTGGGATTACTAATAGGAAGTCCCCTGCATGGGGAGCTGCTACAGCTCAAAGTCGGGCAGTATCATGTGGTGTTGTCACAGCTTCTAGTAATGTCACAGCTTCTTGGTCGGCAATGGGGTGATCCCAGCTGGATTGCTTATGGGCTTCAGAAAGCAGTGGCTGGGGGTGCTGGTCCTGCGAGAGAGACCCATTTGGTAGTGCAGTCCGTAAAGCTGGGATCATGTATCCCTGCCCGTTGAACTAGGTGCTCAGATAGGATTTCCTTCAAGTTGTCAGACACCACTGAAGAGGACAGGAACACTGATACTGCAATTTGTGTTGCTGTGCGCACGTCGAGGCCCCCGAGTCTGACAGGAAGGGAGGCCTGTTTCCTCTGTGAGTCGCTGAGAGAAAAGTTGAGGGCTTTTTCTAGCATTGATTTCAGCAAGCTGTCATACTCTTCTAATTTAATATTATTGAAAGATGGCGAACATCTAAGAAAGTAGGTCAGCCTGGGGAGGGACAGGCATCTGGTGATGAGGTAAAGTGCATCATGAGCATCGATGTCTTCAATCCTCTCGTTCATCCTCTTCAGGTCTGTGATCTTCTTACCAAGGACCTCATCGGTGGCATTCCCTCCAAGAGGAGCACCTAGAAGTGTGCTGTCCTCAGGGTTGGTTATGTGAATGTCAGGTAAAACAACCTTTATTTGCTCTATTATGTGCTGGTTGGTGGAGGATATTTCGCACTTGGAAGAGTTCAGGGTGAGGCCTAGACTTGCTCCTTGCTCCTGAATTATTCTTATGTCATCCAAGAGTGAGTCTGGTGAGTCAGCTAGAGTACCATTGTCCAAAAACCAAATGTTGAGCTCACTGGATGGGTTATCGGTGACTTCCTTGATGACTAGGCAAAAAAGAAAAGGAGCAAGGGGGTCACCCTGTTGGACACCTTGTGATTCAATTTCATGTTCCCCGAAAAACAAAGTGAGAGTCTTGCTGTAACATGAGTTTACAAACAGGTAGAGGGAAGGAAAAAGGCAATGAACCGCACTGAGTACTGCATCCCTTCTAACCAGATTGAAAGCATTTTTGAAGTCCAGTTTTATCAGGGCTTTTTCATCCGTAATGTTGGCAATGTAGGCTCTAGCTGCATGAGCCGCTGCCTCACACCCTTGGGGAATGCCAAACCCAAGCTGTTTTGGCTTCAGCATGTCTGCTGCTGCCTGACTAACTGTTCTGGCAGCAGCCTTAGCGACGAGGCGCCGGAGTGAGTTGCCCACAGCTATCGGTCTGATTCCTCCATCTTTTTTCTTGAGGGCACAGAGTGAAGCACCAAAAAAGATAAGCCATATGGTCTCTGGTATGTTGCCAGCTAGACCTGTGTTGGAGAATCTAGTTCCACCAGGAGGTCCTGTGCAATGTCTCCTAGTGCAGGGTTGAGCATTTGTTTGATGTGTGTCTTAGTCCTGTGAACCCGCCTGCTGATCCTGGTGGGAAGGATAAAGCTGCTTTATGCACCATGGATTCGAGCACACACAGGGGTTCTGCTCTGGTGACACCGACTAGAGTAACACTGTCATCATGTGGAGCTCTGAGTGGGTGTTTTTCTCTTAGGGCTTGTGCTGTATCGGCGTCTATGGTGGCAACTGTGTCCTCGCTGGTGATGACTCTGATCGCCCCTATTGTGTTGCCTTCTTCTATTTTCTTGCTGATTGTTACTCTGATTTTGGATGCCTCGGTTCTGCTGTTGATACCTTTCCTGCGGTGGGTGTTTTTGGCACAGATGGGGAGGAGTGCCAGGTTGTCCTCTCTAGGAAAACTATTTATAGACATAATGACTGAGAAAGCTAGTGATTACACAAAGCAAAGGATACAACACAAAGGATTTGTCTCTCCTTGCAGGGACAGCTAGGCATATGTTACCAAACAGGAGAAGATTGCGCCATGCTTGGATGGTTCCAGGAGAGTCATTAACTTTTTCAAGAGGCTGGATAGTTCGCCTGCCGCTTAGGAGCGAGCAGCTTTGGGAATGTGCTGCAAGGTTATATACAGTATATATATTACATTTGCTGAATGGCCCTGCAATGCCAAAAACAAGTGTGCTCTGTACATAATTCATGACTTTTAACCTTAATTCTGCTATGGAATAACTTATAATTGAAAGTTAAGAAAAAATGGGGATTACACCTATTAATTGGCTTCCTTGTCAAAACTTGTTAAAAATATTTGAAAAACTAATCTACAAACAGCTTTACTCTTATCTAGCCAAACACAATATACTTAGCTCTTGTCAATATGGCTTCAGACCCAAAAAAAGCACTAACGATGCACTTATTAGTATGATTAACTTGATTCATGCAGCTCTTGATAAAAATGAGTTCCCTGTTGGGTTATTTGTGGACCTGCGTAAGGCTTTTGACACTGTCAACCACTAAAACCTTCTTCTTAAATTACATCATTATGGAGTCAGAGGACACTCCCTGCAATACCTCAAATCTTACCTTACTGACAGGCTCCAGTATGTTTCTGTGAATAATTCAATTTCTCCCACCCTACCCATCAACATCGGTGTTCCTCAGGGCAGCATACTTGGCCCTCTCCTCTTTCTCATCTACATTAATGACCTTCCAAATGCCTCCGAACACCTCAAACCAATTCTATTTGCTGACGACACAACCTTCATTTACTCCAGTCCTGACCCCCTTGCTCTAAATGCCACAGTAAATACTGAGCTAAATAAAGTCCATCTTTGGCTAACTGCCAACAAACTCACCCTTAACATTGACAAAACGTTCTATATTCTGTTTGGCAATAAATCCTCTAATCAAATAAATCTCAGAATAAACAATACCCAAATTTGTAACAAAATAGATGGCAAATTCCTTGGCGTTCTCATTGACCACAAGCTGAATTTCTAGGGACACATTCTAAATATATTAAAAAAAGTTTCAAAAACTGTTGGTATTCTTTCTAAGATCAGATATTATGTACTCCGCCCTGCCCTGGTGACCCTCTATTACTCCCTCATCTATCCATACCTCAACTATGGTATTTGTGCTTGGGGTTTTACTACCCAAAATCATTTACATCCTCTAATTACTCAACACAAAGCTGCTATTAGGACAATATCTAACTCTGGTCCCAGACATCCCTAATCTCTGAATATGTTAGATATTAAGTCACTGCACATTCTCTCATGTGTATTATACATATATAAAACACTGAACTGTAATGCCAATCCTGACCTCAAAAGCTTCATTGAAGGTTGTAACAGAACCCATGAGCACCACACCAGAAATACAGTTTTGATATTCTAAGAGTACGACTTAATCAAACTAGAAATGCTCTACAAATCAAGGGACCCAGAATGTGGAATGACCTTCCCAACCATACAGTCTTTAAGTCTCTCTTAAGTACCTCTTTAAGAGAGGTACAGTCTTTAAGACTGTACCTCTCTCAACCAGTTTAAGATAAAAACGAAGCACTACCTAATAAATTCCCTGTAACCTACCTTACCCCTCTATTGTCAATCCATGTCTGTTTTTTTTTTAAACAACGCTGTTTGTCGACCTAATTGTATTTGTGCTGCTTTTTCAGTCATGTTCCCCCCCTTTTTTATCTCGATTTTTATTTGTTCTCAACACATTTCATTCTTTATACTCAATTAGTATTAAAATTTAGTCATTAATGTTTTTTATGCCCGAAACGCTTTGCGTACTAGTGGCTTTAGGCATTGTATGTACTAGCTCTATCTATAATTCCATCAATCTTAGTAAAATCTCTTGTATGTATGTACCTTACCTAACTAAACATTTATTTATTTATTTATTTGTGGAGGTTCCAGGGATCAAGGGGCCCCACGGCCTGATCTGGTCGTCTGGTTCAACCAGGCTGTTGAACAAGTCTGCTCGCAGCCTGACGTATGAATCACAGCCTGGTTCATCAGGTATTTTCTGGAAGTATTTATCGAGTCTATTCTTGAACACTGAGAGGCCGGCCGGTTATTCCCGTTATGTGTAGCGGAAGAGTGATGGGCCTTGGGCATGTCTTGGGCCCCTTGATGTTG